CAGGTGCGTCTCGGGGCAAGGGCTTTGCCATTCATCTTTATTTGTACGCTTGCTCTTCGGGAGGCACTACATTTCCAAAGCTCATTCTGAGACAAGTAGCGTAAGGCCGTACAAAGAATTACTCTTGGCACAGCACCGAGGGGAATTCCATATTTTGAAATCTTTTTTTCCTCCCCGCCCAGGGTATTAGTAAGAAGGTCTACTCATGCAGAGCAAAAAGAGAGAGAGAGAGAGAGAGAGAGAGAGAGAGAGAGAGAGAGAGAGAGAGAGAGAGAGAGAATTAAGCAAAGGCCCAAAGTGTGAGGCCCAGGAAGGTATGCACGTGTTGTCTTGACAATGAACGTCTTGTCGATGTGGTAGGAAGAGGGAACCACGAACCCCGAACCGTGTCAGAGAGTCCAGTTCCTCGGGGAGCCCCAGGGGTACGGAGAGGGGGGCTAGCGTCAGGCCACAGTGTGTGTTGAGTCTGGTTTGTGGGAAGACAGCTGAAGTGTTGCTTCATGACTTGGCTTTTCTAAAAAGAAAGGGGGAACGTTAAGGAGACAGCTGTTAAAGGGAGACTGAGAATGTTTCCATGACCTTCATTATCTATCCTGCAAGGAAATATTTGCCTTTTACTCCATAACCCACTGCTCTTCCTTTGTTCCCAAGTGCAGATAAGAAATTATATGCTGCCGAAACCCGTTTGGCTCAGTGGATAGAGCGTCGGCCTGTGGACCGAAAGGTCCCGGGTTGGAGTCTGGTCAAGGGCATGTACATTGGTTGCGGGCACATCCCCAGTAGGGGGTGTGCAGGAGGCAGCTGGTCGATGTTTCTCTCTCATCGATGTTTCTAGCTCTCTATCCCTCTCCCTTCCTCTCTGTGAAAAATCAATAAAATATATATATTTTTTTAATTTATATGCTTCTCTTGGGAAGTCAACCAGGTTTATTTCTTGCTCTGTATGTGCGCCTATCAAACACCTTAAGGAAAGACGACAGCTTCAATGATGGTGTCCTCGCATGTTTTCATGGAGAATGAATGGAGAGCCCGTGGAGGGCACCCCACTTTGGCCCTCTCCCTGCCTGCTGCAGGAAGTCCCTCTTTCTCTCAATAAATGTTGTTTCCACTTACAATCAGTCAGTCAGCCAATCAACCAGTAACAAATGGCCCAAGGTGGTCTCCAGCAGAGGTAAGCAGGGGCCTTCTCCAGGGGTACGAACGGGGTATCCATTTCAAACACAGACTGAGGCCTCCCTCAGAGCTCCATGCACTGCCATGCTCTCCCTGAAAACCACCTGTTCAAGGAAGAGGCCTGGCACACATGAGCTCGGAGATGGGCTTGTCTTCGGCAGCTGGACTACGTTGCCAGTTGCCCTGTGAAGGAGGATGCTGAACCTCGCAGGGGTCAGGGGTCGGGGGCAAGGAGCTGCCTGACTCCCGCCTTCACTGTCAGGCACTCTGACCTCAGGACAGACGGATTCCAGACGAGGAGCTCCCGGAAAAGCTGGCCAATGCGCTGCCACCACTTTCCCATCCGCCCCCGTGAGAGGCTCTCAGCTGAGCCCGTTCACACTCAGAGCTTCTGTCACAGGTGCCACGTGAACTCGGCGTCATTCTTAAAGAACTTCACACCCGTGACGAGAAATGGATTTAAACAGTACAGGCGAGTCTTTCCCTGTGGGTTTGTTTGGTTTCTGAGTTTGGGGGAGAAGGGGTTGTATAAGGGCAAATATGAGCCTATTTTCCTTTCCAACCATGCTTCAGATGAACTTCTGAAAAGTAACCCTGCTGATATTCTTTTTTTTTTTTTTTTAATATATTTTATTGATTTTTCACAGAGAGGAAGAGGGACAGAGAGTCAGAAACATCGATGAGAGGAAAACATAGATCAGCTGCCTCCTGCACACCCCCCACTGGGGATATGCCAAGGTAATGCCCTTGACCGGAACCGAATCCGGGACCTTTCAGTCCGCAGGCCGACGCTCTATCCACTGAGCCAAACCGGTTTCGGCTTGCTGGTATTCTTTTTAGAAAAATGGGTCCCAGCCATTCCTCAGAAGTGGGATTAAGGGCACCAAGAAGACTGACAACAGATATCTCAGTAACAACAACAGATGGAAAAATAAAATAACATTAGGCCTTAAAGTAGAAATCCATGTGCCCAGGACATGAAAGAGCCCTCCTGGGGAAACATATGAGATGGGCTGGGTTCGCTGTGCAGTTTAAATAAATGAGTGATGAGCCCTAACTGGTTTGGCTCAGTGAATAAAGAGTCAGCTTGCGGACTGAAGGTTCAATTCTGGTCAAGGGCATGTACCTTAGTTGCGGGCACATCTCCAGTAGGGGGTGTGCAGGAGGCAGCTGATCAATGTGTCTCTCTCATCGATGTTTCTAACTCTTTATCCCTCTCCCTTCCTCTCTGTAAGAAATCAATAAAATATATTTAAATAAATAAATAAATAAATAAATAAATAAATAAATAAATAAGTGATGAAACGTTCCTGGTCCATTCATAAATTGTGATGGCTCCTCTCACAAGCTCTAAGGTTCCCTCAACATGGATTAAGCTCCAAGCTTTTCCGTCAGCTTTTCATGTGTAAGGGGAGGACGTGCTATTCAAACTGGTCTCTGGCACGCAGAGGGGAGTCATTTGTTAGCGGATATTTACAAAGCACCGGGGATTTCTCGTTTCTTCTCCTACTGAGCCCTTTGTTACCCTTCCCTAGACAGGCTCTGAGCGTCATCAGAGAGCCTTCTGGGACCTGCTGTGTGATTGAAGGCTTCCTCCCCGCCTCTCTCCTTCCCTGGCGCCCCTGACATCAACAACAAATCTGTCCTACGTGTGTCAGTAGAGGCATGTTGGTGCCCCTCATTAGGGCATCATAATGCTGGGGTTCTTGTCCCAGCCTTACAAAGGATTCAGCATTTTGGAGAAAAGGGCTTCGCGCCGAGACCGGTTTGGCTCAATGGATAGAGCGTCGACTTGGGGACTGAGGGGACCCGGGTTCAATTCCGGTCTAGGGCATGTACCTTAGTTGCGGACATATCCCCAGTAAGGGGTGAGCAAGAGGCAGCTGATCGATGACTCTCTCTCATCGATGTTTCTAGCTTTCTATCTCTCTCCCTTCCTCTCTGTACAAAATCAATAAAATATATATATTTTTTTTTAAAAAAAAAGAAAAAAAGAAAAGGGCTTCGCATAGATAATTAAGAAGGAGTCCGGCCGAAACTGATTTGGCTCAATGGATAGAGCGTCGGCTTGGGGACTGAGGAGACCCGGGTTCGATTCTAGTCAAGGGCATGTACCTTGGTTGCAAACATATCCCCAGTAGGGGGTGTGCAAGAGGCAGCTGATCGATGACTCTCTCTCATCAATGTTTCTCTCTAGCTCTCTCCCTTCCTCTCTGTACAAAATCAATAAAATAAAAATAAAAAAAAGGAGTTCGTGGACAAAAGATAATTTTGAAAGGCACTGGGGGTCAGAGGAGCTTCAGCTGAAGGGAGCTAAAGACTCTCCTTGCCAAAACTGGTTTGGCTCAGTGGGATAGAGCGTCGGTCTGTGGACCAAAAGGTCCCAGGTTCGATTCCAGTCAAGGGCATGTACTTTGGTTGCGGGCACATCCCCAGTTGGGAGTGTGCAAGAGGCAGCTGATCGATGACTCTTTCTCATCAATGTTTCTAGCTCTCCCTCTCCTTTCCTCTCTGTAAAAAATCAATAAAATATATATATATTTTTTTAAAAAGACTCTCCTTGTCTAAGGACCCTGTGCTTTTATTAAACACAATTTGTCCCGAGGCAAGGTGAAGATATACACTTCAAAGGTTAAGGTACCAAAGGGTAGGTTACAGAAGCATTATCAGTTTGGGGAATGGCCTACAGCTGTTCAGGTGTTTGGCCAACAGGAAGCAATAAAATGCCCTGAGCTGTCTGGCAGTTAACAATCCTATTCAGGTTTGGGGGAAATGCCGTTTAGCCCTTTCCAACAGGAAACTACATATGTGTGTCTCAGCCATTGTTGAGCCCACCCAGTCCTATCAACCTTTTGATGGAATTCTTATAATCATTACATGCTGGAATTAGTTCTTGGCAGAGGCATAATATGGACATTAAGGAGACTTTCAAATATTCTTAATTTTAAAAAGAACTCTGCTAGCACCAAAGCAAACTGCCGCCTCAAATTTGGGTGCAGGGTCAAATAATAATTGCACGTTTGCATGAGAGGTTTGCTACATGACTTGTAAAACTAGATGTTTTCATAGCACGTACACATTCCTTCTTATCTGTATGGCCCACGATATTTGAACATCTCCCCCATGTTCTTGTGCCCACTGTCATTAGATACTGTCATTGTCTTGTGACTATATTTCTGTGGCACTCACCAAGCTGGGAAGCATCACAGAATTCTTTTTCGTGGCCAGTAGAAGTTTAAAACTGCAAGGCAGCAAGTGCCCATGTCAAAGATGCCCTGAGGCAACGCCATGGTGTTCCTATGAGTGTTCTGGTTAATATTTATAAGCGAATATGTGATACCCGGCTCTTATCACTACATATCTCCCAGCCATATTTGTTTTCATGATCAGCAGCAGCCTTGTCGTTTTTTCAAGTGACAGTGTATTGCCACCATCATGGGCCTCCCCTGGCATTCCCCTATAAGCAGGTAAGTGGTCAGTAGAGTCAGTAAGAGAAGCAGGTAACAGGACACTGCCTGTACCGTCGCGTACATGAAGTCACGCAGAGAAAGAGGAGGAAATAGGAACAAAACAAACTCTCCCCCAAAGGATCGCTTCTTCCTGGAAATCATCCCAACCATAGGCTTCCATGCCCGGTTCTCGAGCAGCGAGTCCGCAGCTCACCAGCCCTGCGGCTCCAAAGGGGCAGCCAGGCTTGGGGGCGAGGCCTCGATCTGCACTAGAACCCACTCCCATCACACTGAGTGGAGCACAGAGCTACTCAATGAACAACGTCACCCAGGATGGCGCGGCTACCTGGAAACACTGAAGAAATAAGGCAGGAAGGCCTACGACTCCTCTCCTCCTTCTTCTCCTCCTTCTCCTCCTCCTTCTCCTCCTCCTTCTTCTCCTTCTGCTTCTCCTCCTGCTTCTTCTCCTTTCTCAGCTTCCTCTTCCTCTGCGTCCCCTTCTGCTCCCTCCTCCGTTACCTCGCCTGCCTGTTTTTAACAAAAACACCTGATTGTTGAGAGGAGTAGGTAAGGGTCAACACACAGTGTTGCTCTCCTAAGGGGCTGGTCGAGAGCCTCAGGGTGGGAAGCCTGTGCTGGAGGGGAGGGGGCCAGGTGGTGTGTGGCCATGGGGTTTGGGGAGACAGGTGTGGTGTGGGCTGCTGGGAGAGGCCTGGGAGGCAGCTGGCCTTGGGGCTGGAGATCAGAGCAGACCTGGTTCTCTGAGTCCTCGGGCTCCACAGAGACCAGACTCGGAGCCCCTCAAGGACCTCAACCAACCTCCCCCGAGGATGCACCCTTCCTCCTACTGGCTGTGGGGAAGCCGACGGGGTGATTTACAGACCACAACCGGCCACGGTCTTCAGAGACTGTGGAGAGGATTGAGCTGGCAGAGAACACACCCTAAAACCACGGACCTTGATGAGAACCACGCAGAAGCATGGAGCAGGCTCGTGCTCTCGGGATACCCAGGTCTGCAGGACCCTCCCGAGAGAGTGCCCAGACGCTGGGGGCCTTCTGCTTTCCTCCTTCACTTCCCTGGGCACCATCCACACGCCCTGTTAGCCCCGCACACCCCCTGGTTGTCCGGGGCCCAGAAGTCCCCTCGGTGGGTCTGAAGCTACAGCCCAGACCATCTTCGGTGGGAGTTCATGTCTTCTCAGTCCTCCCCGACCTGCCTCCCAAACGCTGCCCAGCCCGTCAGCAAGCAGCTGGCACCCATCTTGGCATCATGACCAAGGAAGAAGGCCCTTGTTTTATAGGGAACCTACCTGAGCCTAACATCACAAATCACAGAAATCCTGTGGAGACTGTCTCTCCCCCCCAACCCCCCATCCAGACCTGGGTTCAGGTCCTTCCTCTGAGCCCCGTCCCCACCTCCACCACAGCAGTTAACACGTCTGGTGAAAATTACCTGCTTTCTCCCTGAGACTCTCGGTACCTCACCTCCATCCTCACTCCTGTGCCAGGGCTCCCGGCCCCTGGGGGTGCTCACACATGCTCATGAGCAGAGCTGCATCCAGCGAGACCGCCGTGCAAAGAACACTCACCTTCTCCGCTTGGGGTTCGGCGGGGTTGCCCTCATCTTCCTTGTCCTCCTTTGGTGCCTCGTTTTCCCCACTTTCTCCAGCCTCCTCTGTTCCCTGGTCGCAAAGGAAACCCCCGTGTCACTAATCGGAGCCAAGCTCCCAGGAACCCCAGGCCATACACGCTGTGGGTGTTGATCTGGACATAGAGCACACACACAGGCCAACGGAGGCCTCAACCAGGAGGCTTAGCTCCCAGACACTCACTACTCACTACTAAGCTTCTGCAGCATTCTATCTTTTTGTCAATCTGATTTTTTTAATAGGATAACTTTGATTCATTCACACCAGACAGCTATTGTGTTGGCTGCTGTCATTTTTTAACTTGTCAATCTAAGGGAAAAGAGGGCAGTGCCCCTGACTGAATAGCCAGGTATTGTCGTTTTACACATTCGTGCAGCACACGGGTTCAAATTGGGGACCTTCTGCTTTCCTCCTTCACTCCTCGGGCCTGCAAGATAGCCAGGAGTGAAGGAGGGTATAGGGTTGCCACCCATCGAAACTGCTGATGGGAGCTCTAGGTGAGATTCAACAGATCTGGTTCACCCCCCATGTGAGGAGTCTCCATTTACCCACTGAAGGTTTTCAGAGAGAACACCATGTCGAGGCAGTGTTAGTTTTCTGTTGCTCATCGGGAAAGAAGGCTTTATCATTTCAAAGATTCAAAAAGCTTAGACAGGTGGACAGACAGACACAGATAATGGAGGAACGGGAGGAAGGACGGGAGGATAGACGGATGAGAGAGAACGGACAGACAGATACAGAAAGATCAGGACCACGCTGGCATTCTGAGGAGACTGGTCTGCGGGAAGAGGGTTCGAGAAACCAGCCCTCACCTCCGAGGGGCTCTGCGCCTCACCCATGACCTCGCCATTGGGCAGGGACGGCTCCTCCCCCGGCGGCTTTGCGGCCTGCGTCAGACGGATAGAAAGTGAGTGAGAACTTCTTGGAGGACATAATCACTTGCATTTCAACATCGTTTAACCCTCCCAGTTATTGTGTCTCCATCCTCATTTTATCTTTGCAACAGCACTGAGGCCTCCGTCAGTAGGACAGTTACTACCACTCACACCTCAAAGACAAGAGAATAAAGGCATGTAAACAAAGCAAACAAACGTTTTGCCCATTTTTTTCTCATGAGACAAGTGTTATTTCCAAACCCCTCAGAAGGCATTACGATAATAAGATAGAAACCCAAACCAAATCCTGAAACCGAGGGAGGACGGCCTGCAGGAGAGCCAGGAGGGCCTGGCCAACCCCGGGGAAGCAGGGGAGATGCATTCTCGGCAGGGACCTCCCCCCGGAGCCTGAGTCTGTGTCTTAGCGTGATGTTCTGGGGAAGCGGGGCTGGGAATCAGTCATCCTCACCCAGCAGCCCCCACTGCTGCCCTGGGTGACGGGGAGGAAGAGAAGATTGCAGCGAGTGAGCAAGGATGTCACTGAGTCTGACTTTGACCTTTCCTTCCTGCTCAGATCCCCAGAAGTCCATACATGCGTTACCCTGCATATCTCAGGGGTTGACCTGGGAGAGCCAGCAAAATAGCCATGGCCTCTGGAAGAAGAGGCAGGCAGCCTGGCACCAGGCACCAGGCACCGGAAACTGAGCGCTGTAGGACAACACAATCAGACTCTTGCTTGGGCTGCCATCTATGTGGAGTTCCCCTCCCTGGTGGTGACAGGCCGTGCTGGCACAGGCCGGACTCCTTGCCGCTGTTGGTACTCCCACTGCTGCAGCTGCTGGGCCAGCTCCAAGTCTCTAAGACTCAACGTGCCCTGTGGCTGCTGCCGCTGCAGGGACAAGGAGGTCAGGGAGTGCTGGTCTACCCGCTGCTGCTTTTCTGAGGAACCCCTCTCACCTTATGCTCCAGGCCCCTTGCCCAGGGAATGACTCCGATGAAAGAGTACACCTGACAGCATTCTGTAAATGCAATCCTCTGACACTGCCATGGCCCAACTCGTCTCTACCAGTTAGGGGGAGATCTCTACAGGCTTACCTGGACAGCTTCCACTGGCGTCTAACAATATCCACCTGACTGCAAAGTCATAAAGACACAGATCCTAGTGCTTCTTTGCCTGACATGTGACAATGATGGTACAGGTTAGCAATCATTACTTCAGTCTTTGCCTTGGTCATAACTTTACTTCCTTCATTTCGATCTAGCCAAAACTGACGTGGGACCAAAAGTTTCGAAACTCGTTTTCTGGTAGGATTAGTATTTCTGTTGAAGGCAATTTTGAGCGATGGCAAAACTACTTCAATACGGGCAGCGTGTTCTAGGACAGTGGGGATTCCTGTCATCTACATACGGCATACAGATTTATTAATATACAGGTGACTCCGGCCAGGCCTACTAGATCTCATTATTGATAGTCTTTACATATCCCTACCACATATGGTAAGAATATCCTTAGCATTCATGGTATATTGCATGGTTCACATTCTTTGGCTATTTGCAGTATAGTATGTCTCTAGAAAATTAACATTTTCCTATATTCATCCATTTTTACAAATAAGATATAATTGTTGCTGTCTTTTTTTTTTTTAATAGCCTTTGTGATTACGTACGTAGTCATTTTTCTAAAGCTTTCTTGGATTAACTTTTTATTTTGTTTTGCATGCCACATTGGGGGGAAACCAATTTCTTCTCAGGTGCATTCGTCTTGCTATAATTCTCATCAAGCTTTTGGTATCTGAAAGTTACCGCTAATAAGTTAACCACAGTCATTGTAGGTCTTTTGTCATCCATGGGTATATTCCTTAGCATGTTTGAATTTGATGCTTCCCTAAAAGCTTCTGCAATGGGCTGCAGGCCAATATGGTTTCTCTTCTGTGTAGAATGACTGCTCAGAGCCCCACAGAAAAAGATTACATGCCACCGAAACCAGTTTAGCTCAGTGGATAGAGTGTCAGTCTGTGGACTGAAAGATCCCAGGTTCGATTCCGGTCAAGGGCATGTGCGTTGGTTGCGGGCACATCCCCAGTGGGGGTGGGTGCAGGAGGCAGCTGGTCGATGTTTCTTTCTCATCGATTTTTCTAGTTCTCTATCCCTCTCCCTTCCTCTCTAAAATATATTTTAAATAAAATATATTTAAAAAAAAAAAAAAGATTACATGCCATGTGCTGGGGGGCACAGGCTTCTGACAGCATCACTTAAAAGACTTGGAGGCCAGACCAGTGGGCTAAATCCGGGTTCCCACAACTGCAGTCAAGGGGCAGGCGGGTTCATAGACTCCAATCCTCACATACAGTGGAGCAAGAATCAACTACACAGGACCGAATGGACTGACGAGGGATGATGGTTGTTTTTGTTTGGAATACTGTTGACATCACCTTCACGTTCTACATTCTGCATCTATAAGGAAGCCCTCTGTTCTTTCTCTTATGCTTCTTATAAATCATAACAATGCAACAGACTCTGCTTTCATAAGTTGAAATGAAATGTTTGTACATGTTACTCTCTCCGCCTGACCCCTCCAGAATTTAAAAATTCTTATTGAGTCCTTTCACTAGGTATGGCGATACAGTTACATGCCTGGCTCAGTAACAATCTGTGTTCCTTATTCCCAGGGCATCATTGGAGCCTGGTTATGTAATCAAGGCCTTGGCTGGAGTGTGGGATGAGGAATGGCGCTCGTTTAATCAGATGTGACCAGATGCTTGTAAAGAACGAGGGTGGACTTTATGGCAGCAAAGCGCCCTGACAAAGCCTCCTGGGAAAACTGGCCTGCCGCTTGGTCCCGTCTAACCTGCCCCAGACCAGACACGTTGTCTAAAGCAGTAATGCTGCTGATAGAAGCATACACTTCTACCCAACTGTCCAATGTCTATTTTTAGCCTTAGCACAAGATTAACTTCCTTGCTGACTTCTCCACAATGTTGTTTACTACAAAAGGACACTCTGACGATGGATGATTTACGGAGATGCTGTCATGTTACCCCCATCAATCATCAGAGGTCTGTCTTCCCAAGGGAGACGTGGAGGACTCTCCCGTGTGCACACATAAACACCTGTGAGCACTGACAGCACCAAGGCCCCGCCGGGCTGTGCCGCTAATTGGTGGACGAGACGAGCCTTGTGCGGATCAGTTCAGCTCCTGGGCCTCATGCTTTTCTGGGAAGAGAAAAGTCGGGACCGGCTGGCCACCAGGGTCTCTCTGGGCAGGTTTTCTCATTCCCCGGCCTTCCCCTTCTGCCACGTGGTGAGAGAGGATGTCACGCGATGTGACAGCGCCCGCCCTGGTGCAGGATGAGGTGCCGTCACGTTGTGTGACTTTCTCTTTCCCCAAGTGGAAGAGAAGGAATGTTTTTAAATGGAATAAGACGAAACACATTCACCTATTTTAGTAGCAGAAGCTGAAATACATTTACTTATTTTCGTATGGATACATCTCAAAACAATGTTGTTGTTTTTAAAAAGCAAGTTGTAGAGCATTCCAAAAAATATGATACCAATTTGGCATTAAAAATACAGACGAACATATGTATTGCTGGTGGAGATAAACATATAGTTTTATAAATAGGTGTGGGTTTTTTTTTTTTTTTAATTCATGGTGTTGGTGACTCCCAAGGAGGGAGGGAAACAGGGGTGGAGAGAGAAACAGCGTGACCTCGTGATTTCTCTGTAATGTCTGCCTCCCCCTCCAAATGAGCAGGTCCATCCTCCACAGAAGAGGGCTGGGCCAGGGCCCAGCACAAGTAATGAAGAAAAGGCATATCCGAGCACCTCATTAGACACCTTCAAAATGAGAAAGAGGGCCCTAAAACCTCCCAGAAACCAGAACAAAAGCAGGTGCAAATAAATGGTCAGGAGACAGACTGGCATCAGGCCTCTGGGCGGCAACACTGGGACCAGAGAACCCGGAGCGGCCTGCGCCGTCTCAATTCAGAGCCAAACGACGCCCACCCAGAATTCTGTCCTCAGCAACCGCTGGAGAAAAAGCTAACCCCGCAGGAAAGGAGCAGGGCCTGCGGCTTTTGCAATAATCCTTGTAGTAGTATTTGACCTTCCCACTATACACACATTAGCTTGATAAGAAGACTAATTTTTAATATTCAAAACAGTCTTTTCATAAGGAAGTAAAACCGCACATTGCGTTACAAAGGTGATAGACATTCATCACGCCACATTCCCTCTCCATAGCGCAATAAAATCAGAAACCAATTTTTTAAAAATATATTTTATTGATATTAGAGAGTTAGAAATATCAGTGAGAGAGAAACCTCGATCAGCTGCCTCCTGCACACCTCCTACAGCCAAACCAGTTAGGGCAGAAACCAATTTTTACAATACAATCTGATGGCCCTAAAATCAAGGTGACTGAGCATGCTCCTGGTTGGCTCAGTGAAGCGGGTGCAGCGTGGTGCGGCAGGATACACGGTAAGTCCTACCAGGGGGCAATCCACAGTCACATTTTAAGTCCATAATATGCCCAGGGTTCACTTTGGCCTGCCTTGCTGAAAGCACCACTGGGAATGTGCCCTGAAGAAACATTTGGAAGCCAAAGCCAGTTTTGCTCAGTGGATAGAGCGTCTGCCTGCGGACTGAAAGGTCCTGGGTTCAATTCTGGTCAGGGGCATGTGACCTTGGTTGCGGGCACAACCCCAGTAGGGGATGTGCAGGAGGCAGCTTGTCAATGTTTCTCTCTCATCAATGTTTCTAACTATCTCTCTCCCTTCCTCTCTGTAAAAAGTCAATAAAATATATTTAAAAATAAATAAGTAAAAATATGTTTCTGCCGAAACCGGTTTGACTCAATGGATAGAGCGTCGACTTGGGGACTGAGGGGACCCGGGTTCGATTCCGGTCAAGGGCATGTACCTTGGTTGCGGGCACATCCCCAGTAGGGGGTGTGCAAAAGGCAGCTGATCGATGACTCTCTCTCATCGATGTTTCTTACTCTCTATCTCTCTCCCTTTCCCTCTGTACAAAATCAATAAAATATATATTTTTTTAAATATGTTTCTATAAGAAAAATTTTTAAAAAATAAAGAAACATTCAGAAGAAAGGGCGCTATTTTATGACGACAATCCCTGCAGGGTTCTGTATACTAAAAAATTCTGAGCAAGCAAATCTTCAAAAACAGCAGTGGAACCTGCATGTGACCACCTGAGAAGGCCTTAGTGCCACGCCTCAGTGCCATCACCTGAGACTGCTGACATGTGAGAGCGGGCCTCTGAGGCAAGCTCATCTCTACACGGTCGGGTTTTGAGTGGTTTCTCCTCTGTGAGGACAGGTTTGGGCTCGGTCATCACAAATCTCTTTAAAAATGAAGGTGGGTACAAACAAACAAATGAATTAAGAAAGAAAGGTCTTGTATCTACGGAGAGGCCTGTATGAGGTCTTGGTTAGAGGCAAGAAATGAGGTGGCCATTGCATAGGGTGAAGCCAGTGAACATCATAGAGGAATTCATGATATTAACTTTATTAGCATAATTCTTTATTTAATAGACATGATTACACCTCATCAAAGATGAAACAGCAGCAGCGGGGAGAAAACTAATAAAATGTATCTTCATCTTGAATCCAGATCTTACTTTTCCCCTCTTTATTAGATTAAAAGAACAGAGTTTACTTTATTTTAACACGTTAAGCGTCCAACCTGTTTTGTCTTCCGGAGAGAAAGTATAGTGTCAGTCACGAGTGACTGGGCACTTAACGTGTTAAATAAGAAGAATTAAAATAGTGGATGTATCATTAGAGAATTAACTAATATAAGAAGTTATATAAGAAGTCAATCCATAACAAAATTTCATAAACACAAGCTGGGAACTCATATTTTTGCATATTTAATTAGAACACTTAAGACTATTGAATGCAATGATATTTCTTTTTTTAAGCATTGTAAATTTTCACTGATTATTTATTTTTATCGTATAATAAAATATAATGAAGCAAAAACAAGAAAAGCACAGTTTTGGAACATGGGTTAGTAAAAAGCTTGCATTATCTTTATGCATAAGACTTCATCAGAATAAGGAGTGTATTAAAATCATGTTGATTTAAATATCCTCATTTATTAAACAGCCTTAGGTGCTGATCTCTAGCTTCATTCATTAGGACCTGTCCTGGGACCCCATAGGGTGTTCCAGCTTACCTTCGAGCCTGGAGGGGGAGCCAAACCAAGGAATGAATAGATAATATTCTCTTCTTTTGCAGAGAAGAAAGAGTCAAAATCCTTGAAGCAAAGAAAAAGAATGCTTAACCATTGCACACCTATGAGCCAGGATTTTTACTTAATTTGATCTCTTTTTTTATTTGCCATTAACTTAGGAGCCAACACAAAATGTTATGCCCATTTGCTTGGCCAAAGATGACTAATCAAAAGTTAAGAACTCTATCTGTGAACTTGACATTTGTTTTTACACACTTTGTGCCTGTTACAGTGTAGTGAGAACTCACACACACACACACACACACACACACACACACACACGCACGCTTCATGCTCAGGAACTGCTAAGACTCAGCTATACACAGTAAAAGCTTCTCCAGGAGTTTCACATCATTGGCTGATTTCCTCACAACGTGGCCCCATGGATGAAACCTGGCCAGCAGAGACTGAAACAGCACAGGATTTCTCTGCTGATATTAGAGTAGCTTCTAAGGCCCAGATTCCTCTCACGCTTTTTGATACCAGGAGCCACAGGATGATGGAGGGCTTAGCGCAAAGATTGTTTTGGCAAAATGGGGACAACTGTGCTCTAAAACCAGATAGTTGCCGATCTGGCATGGCTCAGTGGTTGAGTGTCGACCTATGAACCTGGAGGTCACGGTTCGATTCCTGATCAGAGCACATGCCCAGGTTGAGGGCTTGAACCCCAGTGGGAGGGGGGTGTGCAAGAAGCAGCCAATCAATGATTCTCTCTCATCACTGATGTTCCTCTCCCTCTCCCTTCCTCTCTGAAATTAATATAAACAAATCCTATCTAATAAAAGAGTAATATGCAAATTGGCCATCACACCAAGACACAAGATGGCCGCCCCCATGTGGTCAAAGATCCTGCTCTCATGTGGACACAAAATGGCCACCACAAGATGGCTACAGGGGAGGGCAGTTGTGGGAAGTTAGGGCACGAACCTCAGTTGCAGGCTTGATCCTGGCCCTGGTCAGGGCGTGTGCAGCAACCAATCGATGTGTCTCTCTCACATCAATGTTTTTCTCTCCTCCTTTTTCCACTCTCTCTAAAAATCGATGGGGAAATATCCTCAGGTGAGGATTAACAACAACAAAAAAAGAAGCAAGTCAAAGAAGAATACATGCAATATGAGTCCATTTATATAAAGCTCAAAAATCGGCAAAACCGCCCCGGCAGGTTTGGCTCAGTGGATAGAGTGTCAACCTGCGGAGGGTCCTGGGTTCGATTCCAGTGAAGGGCACATGCCTTGGTTGCAGGCTCCTTCCCAGCCAGGGCCCTAGTCCAGGTTCGTGCAGGAGGCAGCCAAGCTATGTGTTTCTCTCACATCGATGTTTCTCTCTGTCTTGCCCTCTCTCTTCCACCCTCCTTAAAAAATCAATGGAAAAATATCCTCAGGTGAGGATTCACCAAAAAAATAAAAAAATAAAAAATAGGCAAAACAAAACAATGTATTCCTTAGGCACATAAACACTGCAGATAAAAAAAGGAAATGATAAACACGCAGTTCACTGCACGCTGCCCCCGGTGCAGAGGGAGGTGCGTGTGACAGGGAGAAGCACATGGGGGCATCTACATGTCTGTGCACATCAAACCTCTAACACTGGGTGGTGAGCATGTGGCTGTACATCTGATTACTTGTCTTTACACATGTTATTATCATATGACATATTTCATATTAATTTTTTTTAATATATATATTTTATTGATTTTAGAGAAGAAGTTGAGAGGGAGAGAGAGACAGAAACATCAATGATGAGAGAGAATCATTGATTGGCTGCTTCCTGCACACCCCACACTGGGGATCGAGGCCACAACCCAGGCATATGCCCCGACAGGAATCAAACCATATCCTCTGGCTTCATAGGTCAATGCTCAATCACTAAGCCACGCCAGCCAGGCTCATAATAATTTTTTAAAGACATAAAATTTAATGGCATCCACGTGTTGAAAAGTCCTTCCCCACCTAACTGGGCTTTGTCCTGCCCTCCCTGGCAGCCCTGAGGACACTGCCCCTCTGCTGAATGACAAGGTGCCCCCTGGGTGTGCTCAGATCTGGCCAAGCACCCCTGCCCGCACTGGGGCGAAGATGCACAGGCTCCCATTTGGCAGCGACAGACACGTCAGTGGCTTCCTCTGGCCTCCTCTGGGCCTGGCTCCCCAGCGGGTGTCTCCTTTCCCAGCTGACAGCTGTCTGCCAGGCCCAGGATAACATCTCCATCCGTGCTGCCCGAGCAGCGGGTCAGACCACGGGCACCTCCCAGGCCCGGGCACTGCCCTGCCATGCAGCCCTCCCACGGCCCGGCACAGAGAGACCCACTGCTGGGCCCTGAGCCCCCCACACACACCTGCGGCCGCACCAGGTCTGGCCCCTCAGTGGCCATCGGAGACCCGCAGAGACCAGTGCTTCACGTTAAATAATAGAATTTGTCTCACAGTGCACATTTCAAGAGAGCAGAAAGATACAGTGACTAACCACCCAGATTTGTGCCATTTTAAAACGGGCATGTCGCTCGGGTCCTTTGAGTTTTCTTCTGAAAATCTAAACTTACAATACACATTATCATTTTCTTAAGAGTTTTTTTTATGAAAATAGGGTGAGGCTTTTTAAAGTATATTTTATTTATTTATTACAGAGAGGAAGGGAGAGGGATAGACAGAAACATCGATGAGAGAGAAACATGGATCAGCTGCCTCCTGCACACCCCCTCCTGGGAATGTGCCTGCAACCAAGGTACATGCCCTTGCCCGGAATCGAACCTGGGACCCTTGAGTCCACAGGCCAATGCTCTATTCACTGAGCTGAACCGGTTAGGGCTACATTATCATTTTTACCTACTCTGGACACAAAGCCCACTGCCTCACGAATGTACCTATATTGTTTTCAGAGGGAAAGGAAGAGGGAGAGAGAGAAACATCAATGATGAGAGAGAATCATTGATTGGCTGCCCACAGGCTGCAGGAAAACCAATTTAGCAAAAACACTAGTAAGATAAACTGCTAATTTCTCTGTGAAGGGAGAACGTGCTGAAAAAATTATTTTAAAACACAGAATAATTTGAATGCTCATCTCATTAGACCCATATTTGTAAGAGGAAAATACATTTGTAAAATATAAGGGTTTTGTTTTTATTTTTGTTTTTGTTTTCTTATTTGGAACATCCTTTCTTTCTCCTCCACAACTAAAATATATATATATATATATATATATATATATATATATATATATGTGCTAGATCACAACAAAACAGGATGAGACAGGCCTTTAAGGTTTTATTTTTACAGCAAAAATCCTCAGAACTTTTTCTCCACCCTGCCTCGGTGAGCAGTCCGCCACGGGCAACAGGTGAACGGGTCGGTGTGGACGTGCCCCAGTAACATCGGACTGAAGCGTTAGCTGCAGGCCTTGGCCCTCCAACTACATCCTTTAGATAAGAAATAAATAACAGAGAAGCTGGCCTAAAGCACCAGCCATTCTGTGCAGAAGAGAACAGGTGAGCTCAGATTCCCTCATCCCGTTCCAGCCGAGAAGCAGCACACACTGATCAGTTCCTTGGTTTCCAGAGCCCTGATCACTGCATCTGACCGGTGCCCAGCAGGCCCTGACCCATGTGGCTCAGTTGGTTGAGTGTCGTCCTGTACACTGAAAGGTGGCAGGTTTGATTCCTGGTCCGGGCACATATGTAGTTGTACCATTTGATATCTCCTCCACGCTCCCCTTGTTTCCTATATTTTTTTAGAAAGAACAGTGGACTTCCCTAACTGGTTTGGCTCAGTGGATAGAGCATCAGCCTACTGACTAAAAGGTCCCAGGTTCAATTCCGGTCAAGAGCATGTACCTTGGTTGCAGGCACATCCCCAGTAGAGTGTGTGCAGGAGGCAGCTGATCGATATTTCTCTCTTATTGATGTTTCTAACTCTCTATCCCCCTTCCTTCCTCTCTGTAAAAAAAAGAAAAAAAAGAAAGAATAATATTAAAAAATAAAATGTTTAGTATTTTAAAAATAAAATCCTATATAATAAAAGGCTAATATGCAAATCGACCAAGTGGTGCAATGACTGGTCGCTATAATGTGCACTGACCACCAGGGGGCAGACACTCAACGCAGGAGCAGCCCCTTAGTGGTCAGTGCTCTCCCAAAGGAGGAGTGCTGCTCAGCCAGAGTTGGTGAGTGCAGCAGCCGTGGGGGGAGCCCCCAAGGGCTCCTGGACTGTGAAAGGGCACAGGTCAGGCTGAGGGACACCCTCCTCAGTGCACGAATTTTGTGCACCGGGCCTCTAGTAAAAAAATAAAAAGAACAGTGACCTTAGATGACCCCTAAAATAACTTCCCATTCTCAGATCCTAAAGTCCTTTGAGGGTTTTTTTGTGTTTTTTTTGTGTGTGTTTTTTTTTAACTTTTTAATATATTTTATTGATTTTTTTACAGAGAGGAAGGGAGAGAGATAGAGAGCTAGAAACGTCGATGAGAGAGAAACATTGACCAGCTGCCTCTTGCACACCCCCTACTGGGGATGTGCCTGCAACCAAGGTACATGCCCTTGACCGGAATCGAACCCGAGACCTTTCAGTCCGCAGACCGACGCTCTACCACTGAGCCAAACCGGTTTCGGCAGTCCTTTGAGTTTTTAAATTTGCTTTTCAACAATTTGATTTACTAAATAGAATCTGTAAACTCCAAAGAAAAAGTGATTTTATACCAAAATGAACCATTAAATATAGAAAAAAAAATGCCGTTGTTATCAGAATGTACAGTACAGTTTTTAAACTACTTAGACACATTTACACAATTTTTTAAAATATATTTTATTGATTTTTTTAATATATTTTATTGATTTTGTACAGAGAGGAAGTGAGAGAGATAGTTAGAAACATCAATGAGAGAGAGTCATCGATCAGCTGCCTCTTGCACACCCCCCACTGCCCTTGACCAGAATCGAATCCGGGTCCCTTCAGTCCCCAAGCCGACGCTCTATCCATTGAGTCAAACCAGTCTCGGCTACACAATTCTTTTTTTTTTTTTTTTTTTTTTTTTTTTGCTTCCATAGGAAGATTTGACCTCTGCAAATCACTCCTTATGTAAGTGAAAACTTACCCTGTGTTTTTGTGGGTGCATATACGTGTCCACTGCCAGGGGAACGAGAACTCCTCACCAACTGAAGGCTCATTTTGTTTGAACAACTGACCTCAATTCTTCAAAATGAAATAAGGGACCTAAAATAATCCCAAGAACTTCTGAATCATCCTTCTGTTGTTTCCATCATCTTGTAAATCTTAAATGCTGCTTAGTCACCATGGCTCTACCATCCAGGCATTGGATGATAGAAATAGGTCATGAGCCGAAACCGGTTTGGCTCAGTGGATAGAGTGTCGGCCTGAGGACTGGAAGGTCCCAGGTTCGATTCCGGTTAAGGGCATGTACCTTGGTTGCAGGCACATCCCTGGTAGGGGATGTGCAAGAGGCAGCTGATCGATGATTCTAACTCTCTATCCCTCTCTCTTCCTCTCTGTAAAAAAATCAATAAAACATATTTTTTTAAAAGAAGAAAAAAATAGGTCACGACCTGAAAGTTGTGAACAACTCCAAATGCTGCCTCAAAAGTAATCTGCTTTAAACAGTTTCTGAGAAACACAAATACGGAAGAATTTTCCAAGAAACCACTCACTCACCCCACAATACTGCTCTTCGTTGAAGATCTGGGGGGGCAAAGGGATCCCGTTCTGAGGTTTTTTCTCTCCAGGGACATTCTCTCTCATCCACTTCCGGTTGTCTTCATCTCCGGCTATATCTAATTCCTTAAAGTCGATTTTATTAGCTTCCAGAAAGCCCACCACTTCTTGCTGTTTTTTCCTAATCTGGTCAAAGGAGAGACAGGTAACGATTAGACTCGTTTTTTTAAATGCTTTGTTTATATTTACATAAATTAAATCCTTTCTCCAACTACACTATACAACACAAATGGTTTCACAAAGTATTTAAACAACAACAACAAACAATAGAACCATGCCTTTTCATTATAAAGGGTAAATGGAGTGATTACATAAATTCTGAAATGTTAATCTCGCCAATGTTTAAAAATATTTCTATTGATTTTTTACAGAGAGGAAGAGAGAGGAACAAAGAGTTACAAACATCGATCAGCTGCCTCCTGCATACCTCCTATTGGGAATGTGCCTGCAACCAACGAACATGCCCTTGACCGGAATCGAACCTGGGACCTTTCAATCCGCAGGCAGACGCTCTATCCACTGAGCCAAACCAGTTAGGGCTAATCTGACCAATGTTTAAATCATGGTATAGCCAACCCAATGAGAACAGACATGCTTTGGTCATGGCTTCTGTGTGAAATCTTCTTTGTTAAGCTTTAATGCCAAAAAATAAATAAGAATTGGTTATGAAGAAACATGATGATTGAGAGAAGAGAAAAAAGTGAGTTCACTATGAAACTCAAAACCAAGTATGCCCACACTAAGACGCACTTAGTCACAGTTATGAAATAGGAACACGAGTCACGTTCTTATTCACAAAAGTAGCTTTCCCAGGACAGGACACGGAAAGCCCACGGGGAGGTGTGGGGGGAAGGACAGGGGAAAGTTGGGGAAAGCTGGTGGGTGGTTTTGCTGGGGTTCAGGAGGAACACAGTGCAACATCCTGTTCTCCCAGGGATTTCTCCCTTCCTACCCACCCCGCCTCTGACAGCCACACCTGGGAAAGAAGGCCACAGCACCTTCCTCAGCCCCTGGTTCACGCCCTTCACTTCCGATGAGGTGGCCATCCTTAAAGCTTAGAACTCCTTTCCAGAAACAATTATCGTTTTCTCTCTTCAGCCAAAGAACTCACTCCCAGAAATGTGGGATGCCCTCTCGAATGAGTGAGGTGAATGAGTTACAGCAGACTCTGGCCCACAGACTTGAACAACCTCAATCACACTTACTCATTGACTCTCCTCTGCGCAAGACTGTGCCCAGCTCTCCATCGGAACAGACTCAGATGAAATTCTAGTTCACTGGCCCAGGTGGGAATAGCTCAGTGGTTGAGCACTGACCTATGAACCAGGAGGTCATGGTTCAATTCTTGGTCAGGGCACAAAATCCGCGTTTCGGCTCAATCGCCAGTGTGGGGTATGCAGGAGGTAGCCGATCAATGATTCTCTCTCATCATTGATGTTTCTCTCTCCTCCTCTCCCTTCCTCTCTAAAAGCAATAAAAATATTGTAAGTAGATTCATAAGCTGTTTATTTAAGGTAAAAAAAATATAAAGAACTCATTTGCACAAACTAGATACAGAACAAGCTAAAGAAAATAGAGGCAAAATATGCCCAATTTTTAAAACTAAGATTAAAATTTTAAATAAGTAGTTTTTACACAAAAATATCCAATATCTTAATTTTTAAAAAGAACCATTTTTAAGCCCTCTGAATATTGCCTAATGATGAAATCCAGTCATTAAAACGGTCTATAGGGCATGAGGTCCCTGGTTGTGATCCTAGAACTTGTTTACCAGCAGAGTAGACTTTGAGAATTCCAAACAAGAGCTGTGAAAGCACATGCCCTTCCCAAACCGGATGTCTGGAGTCAAACCCTCTTTTGGCAAACCCAATTCCTTTCATAGAGATTAGTATGCAAAAAAAATGATTTTATTCATTTTGGCAAACGTGGATGATTCTATCAAGGACATAAGTATTCTAGTAGAGTGCTATTACTTTCTTTTTTTAAAACACTCACCCAAGATAAGTTCTTATTTATTGTTAGAGAGAGAGAGAGAGAGAGAAACATTGATCAGTTGCCTCACGCACCCACTCTGACCTGGGATCGAACCCACAACTTAGGTATGTGCCTTGATGGGAAATCAAACTCACTCCAACCCACAGAGCCACCCAGCCAGAGCCAGAGTATTAGTATCTCTTAGTTAAAGGAAAGTAAGGCACGTATGAATGTTTAAACCCCGGAATCAAATCATCACCAAAAAACAAACTCTGTACAATTTGGTTTTGGTGGTGATTTCATTGTACATGTCATATTAATTATAAATATAAGATTAATATTAAATAATTTAAATTTTTAACAGGAAGAAAATTATATATAAATTACATATACACATATATAAATGGTAACCACACATTTGCTTTTTAATTAACGTTTGTACCATCAACCTAACAAAGATATTGCGAATAAAAGCACTAAATCAATAAATTAAAGGTGACTGAAACTAGTTTGGCTCAGTGAAGAGAGCGTCGGCTTGTGAACTGAAGGTCCAGGTTCGATTCTGGTCAAGGGCATGTACCTCGGTTGCGGGCACATCCCTAGTGGGGGGTGTGCAGGAGGCAGCTGATCGATGTTTCTCTCTCATGGATGTTTCTAACTCTCTCTCCCTCTCCCTTGCTCTCTGTAAAAAATCAATAATATATAGATATTTTTTTAATCAATCAATTAATTAAAGGCAGCTATTAACCAGCATATAACACTGAATGAGTAAGATCTGTGCCACGATGTCTATTTCAGTTTGGGGCAAGCGTGGGCAAAGGATAAAAATAAAAGCCACACAGGAAGCTGTGGAATGATGGAACTTTCCGGGAGCTTCTGGCCTAGCGCTCCAGCACCTTCCTGAGGGGGACCTTCGTTGCCTCCCCCTGCCCCTCCCCCCGGGGCTGCGCCGGGGGAGCCTGCCCTCTGTCCTCCCCCAGGAAATCCCGAGCCCACAGCCGCCGGCCGGGTTTCTGAATATTACAAAATCCCTTCCGACCTGATGACAGGCTGCTGGACTAAATTATGGTTGTGTTTTCTCCGCATGCTTTCCAACCTGATCCTGATTACTCCTGCCGCGGTATAAATGGCTTATTCCTGTAGGTATTGTCACAGACAACCTGCTGTTTGAAGAGGGGAGGTGTCTTCATTTTAGGCAGATTTACCTTTATTTATTAATGTTCAGAAGACAGCCTCCTTTATTCTGTCCAAACTCATCCTGCTTCCTTCTCAGACACCTCCCAGGAGTCCAATCAGCCTGGCCAAGGCTCCCATATCATTGCTATCTGTTGTTTGTTTGTTTGTTTGTTTGTTTTAAAATATATTTTATTGATTTTTACAGAGAAGAAGGGAGAGGGATAGAGAGTTAAAAACATCGATGAGAGAGAATCATCAATCAGCTGCCCCTTGCACACCCCCTACTGGGGATGTGCCTATAACCAAGGTACATGCCCTTGACCAGAATCAAACCTGAATCGGGACTTTCAGTCTGCAGGCCGATGCTCTACCCACTGAGCCAAACCGGTTAGGACATATTGCCATCTGTTAATGATCCCTCAGGACTTGCAGCTGCATGAGAAAGAGATCTCACTTGATTCCACGACTAATAGATGGGAAACATTTCCTGAAGTCCTGACAGGTTTCTTCTGCGAGGAAGTCAGAGGTGGAGGAAACGAAAGGGAATGTCTGTTTGCTGTTATTTCTTGCAAGACACACAATTGCATCTCTGGGGAGTGAACTGACTGCTGGGTGCCTAGCACTGTGTTCCATGCTGTTTCTCTGTCCCCGACTCAAAGAAAGAGAAGAGAAACTAACTATGCCCCTCTGCCCTTCCCAAGCACCAGAAACTTACACTGGGCCAAAAGCACAGCATCTGCCGTGGGAGCCCTTGACCTTGAGTTCCGCCAGGGCTGGAGAAGGGCTTTCGGAAGAGGCGGGAAGAGGGGAGAGGGCAGTAGGGAGCACGTGAGCTCGCTCACCTGGCTGGTGCGGTGGCCTTCGCCCACACCCAATGCCCACCCTGATGCCCACCCTGAGCGTGGGGACTCCCCTGCAGCCCTCCCCTTGATGGGTCTCTGTTCAAGAAGCTCCCCTGGTCCTAACCGGTGTGGCTCAGTGGATAGAGCGTCGGCCTGCAGACTTGAAGGTCCCAGGTTCAATTCCAGTCAAGGGCATGTACCTGGGTTGCGGGCACATCCCCAGTAGGGGGTGTGCAGGAGGCAGCTGATGGATGTTTCTCTCATCGATGTTTCTAGCTCTCTATCCCTCTCCCTTCCTCTCTGTGTAAAAAAAAAAAAAAAAAAAAAAAAAATCAATAAAAATATATTTAAAAAATAAAATGAAATTTACGGAAGGAAGGAAGGAAGGAAGGAAGGAAGGAAGGAAGGAAGGAAGGAAGGAAGGAAGGAAGGAAGGAAGGAAGGAGCCCCTGGGCCCTCCGTCAGAGTGAAGCTCCTCTCCACGTGGCCTCCTGAGCTGACCTCCAGGGACAAGGCCTCCATCCCATGGCGCCTCCCCTTCGTGGCTGCAGGGGGAGGGGCACACACAGCACCTGGACACACTGCCCTCCACCTCTCCCCGCCCCCCCAGGGTGCCAGCCAATGGTGGCCCCAGGGAGGTGGGCCCCCTCCTGAGGATCGGGGGCCTGGGCCTGTGCCATTGGAGCCTCAGGGACCTCAGCGCTGGTCCTGTCACATGTGCTCAGACAGAAGTGTGCTCTCTGCCCTGGAGTCACCCGGCCGCCGCCGGGCACACTGACACTGGAAGGCTCTCTGGGTCACCGCCTGCTTGGTCTTGTACAGTCAGGAGCCCTTCCAACGAGGGCCTGAGGGCCTGTACTCAGCAGCAGGCACAGCGCACTGAGGGTGCCATCCTGGCTCAGGGGGTGCTGTCTGAGCAGGCGGAGCGCCCTCCTCATGGCGCTGCTGAGAGCCAGGGGGATCGTGGGAAAGCATTTGTGCCACCCGCTGCGAGGCTGCTCCGCCACACCCAGCAGCACGCGTACCAGTTACCTGTCTCCATCACCAGCCAGGTAACCCCTCTGATCACCTTTTCATTTTGTTTTTTTCATATATTTTTATTGATTTCAGAGAGGAAGGGGGGCGGGGGAGAGAAAGAGAGAAACACCAATGATGAGAGAGAATCATGGATCGGCTGCCTCCTGCACGCCCCACACTGGGGATGGAGCCTGCAACCCAAGCATGTGCCCTGACCAGGAATCAAACTGTGACCTCCTGGTTCATAGGTCAATGTTCAACCACTGAGCCACACCAGCCGGACTGATGGCCATTCTAAAATGACAAAGCTGAGGGCGGCAGCGAATTAAAGAAGTTTCCAAGGCTTCCACCCAGAGCCATGTAATTCACGAGCCATGTTTCCCACGGATCCTACCCTCACTCGGGGCCGGAGGAAGGCCTGAGGAACCCAGGAGCCGCCACCAGGGCCTGTCCCAAGACTGTGGGTGCAGGGCTGTGACACTGCAATCGGGAGGACCGTCCTCTGTCCCTCTGTCCCCCAGCCCGCGGTGGTGGCGGCTTTCAGGGAGAGAGGAGGGTCTCACAGGCAGACAGGCTTCTCCCGCCCCGAGGATCTTTGGCCCCAAGCTCGCCGTAAAAACCTGCAACCTCACTTCCATGTCAGCTACTGAAACAGCTCAGCCCTGGCCGGTTTGGCCCAGGTTCGAGCCAGGCAAGGGCACGTACCGCAGTTGAGGGTCAGGGCATGTGCGGGAGGCAGCCAAGGTTTCTCTCTCACATTGATGTTTCTCTCTCTCCCCCTCCACTTACTCAAAAAAAGCAATGGAGCTCTAACCTGTTTTGCTCAGTGGATAGAGCGTCGGCCTGCAGACTCAAGGGTCCCAGGTTCGATTCCAGTCAAGGGCATGTACATTGGTTGTAAGCACATCCTCAATAGGGGGTGTGTAGCAGGCAGCTCATCGATGCTTCTCTCTAATCAATATTTCTAACTCTCTATCCCTCTCCCTTCTTCTCTATAAAAAATCAATAAAGTATTTTTTTTTTAATTTTTAAAAAGCAATGGAAAAAATAAGCTTCGGTGAGGATTAACAAAACAACCAAAGAGCCACGAGTGATGATGCACAGAGTACACGTGTGATCCCTCAGAAAGAAGTTTTGTGTTTTCGTTTTTCATTTCTGTCATTCATGTAACAGAAGCTTTGCTGCCCTGTTGACGAGGTCCCAGGCAAGGGTTCGCTTTGGAAGTGCACAGGCTAAAGCAGAAGGAAGAAAGGGTGACAGGCCAGCCCCACACACCGCCCAAGCCCTGGCACTCCCCTGCGGCTCTCCTGAGAGAAGCTTCTAGTGAAACGCCCCACCAGAAAAATCAATAGCACTGACCCACAGAAATAATCACGTCTCCTGCCCCAGGCTCAGATAGAAATTCTTCCTTTATGTGGCTTAAAATGTATGTGGCTTTTCAGTCTTCTGAAAAATAAGCATCATAAACGCAGATGTTAACTAATAATTAGAACAACTACTATACTGTTCATATTAGCAATTGTAATAACTACAAGATATAACTGTTCTAGCACTAACTAGCCGGAACTAAGAATTATGACAGTAACTAACAATTATAATACTTATTAAGCACCGACACCACGCCAGACACCAGGCAGGTTATTTCTAAGTCCTCGCCACCCGGCGGGTCCTTGTGTTACAGGTAAGGAAACCGAGGCTTTGCAAGGTGAAGTCCCCTTCCCAAGGTCACGCGGTTCCAAGTGGCACCAAAACATTTGCTCAGGGAACAAGAATTAATCTGGCTTACAGACCCTTATCCCCCACCTCAACTTTGCAGGGGCCTGAACCTTCACCCTTCTGAGGGAGGTCTCCTGCTCCCAGGGGTGCTTCGCTTCCCCTGCACAGCTCTAATCGGGACCCAGGTAACAGGCAGAGAATGGGCCAACAGCAGCTGTCCTCTCACGGCAACAAGACTTGTTTGAGATGTCTTGTACCCATGGTGAGGGGAAGCGGGCTTTTGATACCCAAATCCAGTCTAGTACCAGAAAAGCTCAGGGCCTACTCAAGAAGGCAAATAATCCTTTCCACTAATATACACAGGGTAAAATAAGATGGTGGTTAGAGTGTTGATTTTGACAGTAGAATAGTAGTCTATTTTTAGCGTAATTTAAATTGGCTAATTGAAAGAAGCGAATATTATAGAAAAATGTATTGTAATGTACAAAAAGCTGTTCCTAAAGTATTAACAAAAATATTTATTGGCAGTTCATCTTATGATAAAATTGTGTAACATATAATGAACCTAAAGCAGTCATATTTTAGCACAAAAAAATTAAAATGTAAAAGCTATCAAGACTACATTATAAAATTTCCAAAAGCCTTCTAATATTTAAGTAAAAAGGGGTAGGGGTGATAATAAAAGAATATCATGTAAGGAAAAATATCCTGTAAGTAAATTACATCTAGAAAAGTTATACTTTAGAAAATTAACTTGCATTTGTAATGCTAACAGCAAGACACCCATGAAAAACACACATGGTGTCAAAACAAGCCAGAGGGAAATCATTTGGGCAAAAAATAAAAAAGGATCCCGAGTCAAATTTATAGAAAATATTCCTTTATTAAATTTTGGTTGGGAATATGTTTGTATATTTTCAGAAAACAACTCCAGGACCATGTGGATTCCGGCAACAGAGGAATTGACAGGACTGCTCCAGCCATGAAGACTGAAGAGAAACAGTCCAGACATGGAAAACGCTGACAGTGCCTTGCCATCCTAGCAGACAGCAGCTGTGCGTCACTGAAGGATGCTCAGGACCAAACCAGAGATGATTGGACCTGCAACACCACCATTTGTCCACCATCCAGAACTGAAATATCATTGCTGACATCTACACATAAGGAACTGTTTGACATTGAAATTAGGACTCAAAAGAATTGTTGGCCCAGAAAAAAACTCACTACAGACTGATTCATTTGCCTCTCAGCGTAATCATTATGGCTGGTCTCATTTTCGGTTCTTACAAGTGTATTTCTTGTATCACATGATCTCACGCATCTGGGGGAAATAATGAACAACATAATCTGATGAACAAAAACAGACCCGGAAATAAGGAAGCATCGATCAGACTCTCAAACCTCAAAGGGAAAGTAGGGGAGGGTGAGGAAAAGGGAGAGAGATCAACCAAAGACTTATATGCATGCATATAAACCTAACCATTGGTCATAGACAACAAGGGGGTGGGGGCATACTTGGGGAGGGGTTAGGGGTAGAAATGGGTGGATGAGGACAATTATGTGATACCATAATCAATAAAAATTTAATTAATTAATTAATTAACCTAGCTTTTCCAAGATCCTGGAAAGAACGATACCCCTCCAGGCCCTCCGCGGCTAACTAAATCAAGCTCAAACTTCAGGCATGTAGGCTATCAAATAACCCGAAAAAAACCACAAATGTATTCGCTGTCTCTGGAAGGATGGCCTGGTCTACACGCTATGAGAAGGCTGGCAGGTCAATGATAACGGGTCCAGCAGTGAACGGGTCCAGCACGCTCAAAGCCCACGAAGACCCTTTTCCTCCAAAACCCGTTTTACCCAAATAACCCAACAACACGTGCTCGCGGCAGGTCAGCGAAGAGTTTCTGAGGTCATCCACAGCCCCAGGAGGTTCTGCAGCTTTTACATCTGGAATGTCTCCTCGTTTTTTCTGTTAAAGATGGTCTAGAATTCACTAGACACTTGCTGACCTGTCGGGCTCAGAGCAGATACCCTTCCTCTTGTTCTCGGCTCGCCTACTCTGGACACGGTGAAGTAGGGGTGGTGGCATCTGCCAGCGGCTCGCCGGGGGTATGTCCCTGGCTGTGTGAGCCTGAAACCCTAGCTGCCACCCAGGTGTCCAGGACCCCGTTCTACAAGGAAACACCCTCCCGCTGGTCTCCAGCTCTCAGGATCAACCCAGAGCCTCCCAGACTTCTGCTAAAACCTGGTGGAAATGGCAGTGTCAAAGGCAGGTCTCTCCTGCCCAGAATGAAGGCGGGGATGGGACAGACCAAGGTCCCGAGGCGATCAGACAAAGCAATGTAAGGAGGCCAGCTCAGAGGGCCTGTTTTGGGTCTGCTTGGATCCCCGTGCTTGGATCCCCAGAGCGGTTAAAACTGGGGCCTCAGCGACGTCTGCTCTTGTCACTGTGACATCATCTTCCTCAAATAAGAGCATTACACAGCTAACGGTACACTTTCCCCGCGGTCTCTGCACACACACGTAGGTGCATCCGGAGTCATTTAGGAATCTGCTTCTCCCAGCTCCAAATACCGTTACACAACGTGTCTTTTTTTTCTTTTGGGCAACTTGTACCGATCTCGCGGGACGAACGGCAAAAGCACTCCACACCAAAACAAAAACAAGCGCACAGAAACCTTTGATTCTGCAATAGTCTGTAACATATGGGGGACACAGGTGGCCTGTTAGACACCCTGGAACCGAGCACGCCCCCTTCCTCGTGTCTCTGCTCACACCCAGCTCCCACACACTTCGCACACTTCTGCAACACGAGGGCGGGAAGCAGGGCACGTGGTGGGGTCCCCGCCCCGCTCCCCCGCCCCCCAAGCCGGGCTCACCCACCCCGCACCCCGCAACTCAGAGCCCGCGCCTTCCCCGGGGAATCCCATCCCACACCTACCGCTATGGACCCCGACGATGTGGCCACAAACACTTTGATGACCATTTTGACAGCCGGAAAGAGGACTCCCCCCAGCGCAACCCAGGACGGAGCGGGGCGCTAGACAAACCCCTCCGCTCCCTCCGCGCCCCGCGCCCCGCCCGGCCCCCGGCCACTTAGGCGCGGCCTCCCCGGAGCGGCCGGCGCCGCCATTGGCCGGGCAGCGGGGGCCTGTCCGGCCAGCGGCTGATTGGCTGGTAAAAGCAGCCCTGGACCCTGTCCCTCCTCGCCGGCCCGGCCGCCGAGTCCCTAAAAGGCGAGGCTGCGGGCGCACCAATCCCCGCCCCGGGCGCAGGGCCGGTGCAGGGCGCGGGAGGGCGCCGGCGGGGGCGCCTTGGGGGCTGGGCTCAGCTCGGGTTCGGGGTTCGGGGTTCGGGAAAGGCTGTGCGCCGGGCGGGGGGCAGGCAGACACACACCGGGAGGTCAGAGCAGCCCCAGGGCCTTCGCACAGAGGGAGAACAGCTCCCTGGCGGGCTGGAAGGGGAGCCGGCGAGCGGTCCTACAGTAGATGGCATGAGGGTGGCAGGAGGGTGGCAGGAGGGTGGCCGGTCCGCTCGGCCCTGGACCACCTGTTTCTCCTAAAGAACAGAGCTGACAGGCGCAGGCGGGTAAGGTTTCACCGACACCAGGCCCGGCAGGGAGAGGCCGCCGGGCGCTCGGTGCAAGCACTTCCACCAGCAGACACACCGGCCTCGCACACAGGTGGGGTTTTTGTGGGGGTTTTTTTTTTTAACAGAGAGGAAGGGAGAGGGATAGAAAGTCAGAAACATCGAGGAGAGAGAGAGAGAGACATGGAAGAGACATGGATCAGCTGCCTCCTGCACACCCCCCACGGGAGATGTGCCCGCAACCAAGGTCCATGCCCTTGGCCGGAATCGAACCTGGGACCTTTCAGTCCGCAGACCGACGCTCTACCGCTGAGCCACAGCGGTTTCGGCAAGAGGGAGGAATTTAAACTCCAGGAAAGCCCAGATGCTAGCCGCCACCTCTTCTGATGGGTTTCAGCGGCCAGGTCCAGGGCACCGGAGGCCAAAGCCCCCTGGGGGTGTCCAGTCCTCTTAGAGAACCCGGGCTCTGGTGTTTGGAGTCCCTGCTCCCCCGAAAGGAGGGGGCAGAGGCTTCTGGAACAGGGAGGGATGTCAGGAGCCCCCGAGGCCTGGGGGCGTGCTCGCCTCCCGCCCAGGTGGACACCTTGGATGTGAACGGATTCCCTGTCCCTGGCATGTAGCTCAGGTTCATTTACATGAGGACGAAGGTGTGAGCTGACTCCACCACATGTAATCAGAGCCTCAACATGCCAGGTTAGCCACTCCCCACGGCAGGCCCTGGTGGAGATGATCAGTGGGGCCCCAAGTTTAAGACGGTAGCTGTGTAAATTTTACTTTGTCATAGGTCATTGTTGCTTTTCTTCTTTTATTTTCAAAATTTCTACAATGACTATGTACAATTTTTGTCAGCTAAAATATCGTTTGCTGCCGAAACCAGTTTGGCTCAATGGATAGTGCGTCGGCCTGCGGACTGAAAGGTCCCAGGTTCGATTCCGGTCAGGGGCATATACATTGGTTGCGGGCACATCCCTGGTAGGGGGTGTGCAAGAGGCGGCTGGTTGATGTTTCTCTCTCATCGACATTTCTAGCTCTTTATCCCTCTCTCCTCCTCTCTGTAAAAAATCAATAAAATATATTTTAAAAAATAAATAAATATCTTTTTCTTTTTCTTTTTTCCCTTTTTTTGCCCAGCTAGTGTGGCTCAGTGGTGGAGCATCAACCCAGGAATCAAGAGATGGCGGTTCGGGTCAGGGCACATGCCTGGGTTGTGGGCTCAATCTCCTGAAGGGGGGGATCATGCAGGAGGCAGCCAATCGATGATGTTTCTATCTCTATTCTAGAATCTAAAATCTCTTCCTCTCTCTCTAAAAACCATTAAGCACATTAAAAAATATATATTTTTAACACCTTGGTCATAAAATTTGTCACATAAGCATGTTCTTTTTCTCCAGATATTATTTAAGAAAGTAACAAGCTATGAATACTTCTTAACTTTGTAAGCTGGTAACATGAACTATAGCTGGATCTCATGTGCCCTAGAGCAGTGGTCGGCAAACCGCCTCTCGAGCCACATGCGGCTCTTTGGCCCCTGGAGTGTGGCTCTTCCACAAAAGACCACGGCCTGGGCGAGGCTATTTTGAAGAAGTGGCGTTAGAAGAAGTTTAAGTTTTAAAAATGTAGCTCTCAAAAGAAATTTCGATCGTTGTCCTGTTGGTATTTGGCTCTGTGGACCAATGAGTTTGCCCACCACTGCCCTAGAGAATACACATCCCCTGATCACATAAGGCAAAACTGCCTTCAGTAATAAAGCTCTCTTACCCGCGTGCCCTCAGGAGAAATAAATTTACAATTTGAAATAATAGCTAACAATGTGTAGGAGTTTGCCTGTTCCAAACTTGCATAAACCACTCCCTTCACCCGCACAAACACCCTAAAACTGGGTTCGATGATTCTCTCCCCTCCGGATGAGGACTCAGCACTGCAGCTGATGGGCACGGTGAACGCTGTACCCGATACTTGAACTCACACAATCATCTCCACACCGCACCACAAAAATTCCTGACCGCCTCCTCAAATTCCCAGAGCTCCCTTTTTTCACTAGGAATTACTTGTAGAAGTATATCCTTTTAAGAATGCCATGAAAATGTACAAATTAGAAATTTGAGAGCTCCAGCCGAAAGGTCTTTTCATTTATTACGGGGACGCCAATGCGCTTCAGGATAACTGACAGGAATACCACACATTCCACAGGAGTCCTAAAATAAAGCCCAGTGCCTCTCGGGCAGCACATGCACTTCAGAAATAAGCTGCCTGATCCGGTGCGGACACAGGAGGCTAACCTTTCACGTCCCTAGTCCTTGATGTTCAAGTCAGAGAACAATACTCTCCGGTTTGACCCAATTTTTTAACAGAATTTCCTCTTTTTTTCCAATCTTATTGAGGTATGAGAGGCCCGGAGCACAGATTCGTGCACCAGTGGGGTCCCTCGGAGTGGCCTGCAGGGATTGGCCAAAATCAGCAATCCAGCATCACCCAGGGATGTAGTAGCACGCAAAGTGGCAGGCGGCCGGGGAGGAGCCAGAGCCTGGGTGGGTACCACACAGCTCATCCTTCTACCACGGCTTAGTAGCCTCACTGCTGCAGCTGTGAGCCTGACCTCTGGGCCCATCAGTCAGCTGAGCAGCCCTCCCACTGTGGGAGCGCACTGACCACCAGGAGGCAGCTCCTGCATTGAGCGTCTGCCCCCTGGTGGTCCGTGCGCATCATAGCAACTGGTCGACTGGTCACTTAGGCTTGTATATGTATAGATAATTGACAAAACTCTAAGATATTTAAACTGTAATTGGCTGGAGGAAATATTTGCAACATATATCACAGGCCTGAGTTTCATGGAGCATCAAAAACTCTTAAGAAATCAGTTTTTATAAAGATGAACAAACACCAAGTGAAAAAAATGGGCAGAAGGCCAGAAAAGGCAAATCACAGATTAATTACTAAAGGTCACTAGCAATATGGAAAAATGCCTATCCTTCCTAGTGGAGCAAATCAAAGATGCTTATTTCTGACAATACAACAGGAGTTTTAAAAAGAAATAAGGTTATCCCCAATGTGGAGTGAGGATTGGAAACATTTGCCTGGGAGGCAAACTTTCATCCATCTGCAGAAAGCCTCAAACTGGGCATATCCTTTGATCCTTCAACTTCTCATGTAGGAATTTTATCCTAAGGAAATAGGGGTGACCTCAAGATTAATTTACAAGGGTACAAGCCAGTTGATACAATGTGGGGGAGGGGAAGAGGAAGAGGTAGAAGAGAAGAAAAATACATGTTTGCTAATTACACATTCCATCATCTAGGTAATTTTTACTTTTATTTTATTGATTTTTTACAGAGAGGAAGGGAGAAGGATAAAGAGTTAGAAACAGCAGTCAGCTGCCTCCTGCACACTCCCTACTGGGGATGTATGTGCCCACAGCCAATGTACATGCCCTTGACTGGAATCGAACCTGGGACCCTTCAAGTCCGCAGGCTGACACTATCCAATGAGCCACACCTGTTAGGGCAGATTTTTACTTTTTCTTGACAATTTTCTGCTCATTCTAAATTCTCCACACCAAGCACCAACTGCTTTGTGATCAGATGTTCTTTCTCCAAAGAAACCCAACTTTACAGGGAGAGGCTAATAGGCAGAGAGGAGGCGGCCCACCCTCTTCCCTGGGAACCAGGCGTCCACACTGCGTGCCGAGCAGCCTACAGGGGGCGCTCTGCCCTCGGTGCGCCCCTCCCGGCCAGCAGACTCCCTCCGGGACTCGGATCCAAACCACCCGATTCGATGCGTGAGCGACAGCACCCAGCGCGGACGGGGCAGCGGGATCTTCGCGCCCCGGGAACGTCGCGGCCCGGCTCGTCCGCCCCCTCCGCCCGGACGTGGAGGAGGGGCAGCGGGGGCACCGTTAGGCCGTCCACACAGGTCCCCTCCCGGCGTCCTCCGGAGATGCAGGGTCTGGACCCTGGACACCGCCGAGCGCCCAGCGCCCACCGCCCAGCGCCCACCGCCCAGCGCCCACCGCCCAGCGCCCACCGCCCACCGGCCGCCCAGCGTGGCCCGAAGTGCGCAGGCGCGAGGACCTCGCGGTCCCGCCCCCTGGCTCGTCCCCGCCCCCTGGCTGTCCACGCCCCCTGGCTGTTCCCGCCCCCTGGCTCTCCTTTCCCAACAGGCCCCGCCCCCTGGCTCGTCCCCGCCCCCTGCCTGTCCCCGCCCCCTGCCTGTCCCCGCCCTCTGGCTCTCCTCTCCCAGCAGGCCCCGCCCCCTGTCTCGGCCCCGCCCCCTAGCCCTCCTTTCCCAGCAGGCCCCGCGGGCGGGTTTCCAGGCGACGCGTCTGAGGCCGCGGGAGCCCTGCGGAGCAGGTAACGGCCGCGCAGCCGCCGTCACCGCCACCGACGCCCCTGCAGCCCCAGG